CGAGGAAGGACGTAATCATTGATGGTATGTCAAAGAGTACCATCTTTTCGTCCATGGATTTGATGGATGGCTTCTATCAAATCCTAATGCGGGAACAGGATATACCCTATACCGCAGTTAGCACGCCTAGCTGCAAGCTCTGGGAATGGCTAGTAATGCCACAAGGGCTCAGTAATGCCCCTGCCACGTTCAACAGGTGTGTATCACATCTGTTGAGGCCAGTACGAGAATTCGCGCCGAGTTATTTCGATGACGTATTCATCCATAGTCGAGCTATGGATGGAAAGTCGGACGTTGAGGTTCACAAGTACCACGTCCGACAAGTTCTTACAATCATGCGAAAGCATCAATTGTATGCAAACCTCAAGAAGTGTATATTTGCAGCAAGCGAAATACCACCTCTTGGGTGCATCGGTGGTAAGAACGGTGTACGTCCTGATCCTGAAATGATCAAGGCGATCACCGACTGGCTTGTGCCGGTTGACGTCAAAGGTCTTCGAAAATTCCTTGGGCTAGCGGCGTATTTGCATAAGTATTCACGCAATTACGCCGAGATGACTGTGCACCTCTCTCGTTTGTTGAAAAAGAACGAGAGGTGGTTATGGAACGCTGAATGTCAACGCTCCTTTGAGGGTATCAAGCAGAGCTTGATACAATCCCCAGTCCTAGCAATAGCCGATCAGGACAGGCCATTTCATGTGGTCTGTGATGCCAGCGATTTCGCAATCGGCTGTGCATTAATGCAGTACGACCTTGAAGGCGTTGAACGCGTCGTCTGCTATCAGTCGCGTCAGCTGCAACCAGCTGAGCGGAACTATCCAGTGCATGACAAGGAACTCCTTGCCATGAAGTATGCACTCGCGAAGTTCAGAGTCTATCTATTAGGAGATAGACCCTTCGTTGTTTACACTGACCATGCGTCATTACGCACGGCAGTGAACAGCCCGCACCTTTCACAACGAATGGCGCGGTGGTTGTCATTCTTTGCAGAATACAACTTTACGGTCGAGTACAAACCAGGACGACTTAATGTCGTCGCTGATGCACTCTCACGTCGTCCCGACTTTGAAACAGTCGCGAAACCCAACAGTGAGACAGTCACTGTTGCGGTTATGACGTCCTCAGTTCCATCTACAACGTTGTATGATGATGTGAGGCGGGCATACGCCCAAGATGGTGAGATAGTGAAGTTGTTGTCACATCTCTCCCAACCATCTCGAGAATCGTTGAAACGATTGTCGTCTGCGTATCGATCTGCATCAGATCGATACACTACTCGTAACGGTTTACTGTACTATACAGCCGTTTCTGGTGACACACCACGTGTTGTCATTCCAGATGATACTGATCTGCGTTTGCGGATCATGTTCGAGTATCACGATGCTCCTATAGGAGGACATCGTGGCCGAGAGAAAACATATCTCACGGTAAGTCGAGACTTTTACTGGCCCCGCCAGTATCAGTTTGTGCGAAAGTATGTTCGCGCATGCGAAGTCTGCCAACGAGTGAAGTCAAGTCCTTCACTGCGTGCACCTTTACAGCCTCTACCGGTTCCGGCTGAGTGCTGGGAATCCATCTCAATGGATTTCGTCTTCGGGTTACCCAAAGACGCACGCGGGAATACGGGTATTCTCGTATTTGTTGACAGATTCAGCAAAATGGTACACCTTGTGGCTGTACCAGAGACAATCACGGCAAGTGGCTGTGCTTGTGTCTTTATTGACACCATCTTCCGACTTCATGGGTTGCCCCGTGAACTCGTATCAGACAGAGATCCACGATTCACTGCTGATTTCTGGCGTTCCGTGTTCAAATCACTCGGAACGCGCTTGAAGATGTCAACATCTGATCATCCAGAGTCAGATGGTCAGACGGAACGTGCCAATCGTGTCCTTGAAGAGATACTTCGAGGATACGTACACTCCTTTAAGAGTTGGAGTGAGTTTTTGCCGATGGTAGAGTTTGCCATCAACAACTCGGTGCATGCGTCCACGACACATACACCGTTTTACGTGAATGGCTTGCGCCATCCGCGTGTACCCACCTTACTAGAGTGTAACTCTGGTTTAAGGGGGAGGGACTCGCGCGAGCAAAAACCGATTTGGTTCACGCTCATCACGCTCTGACGAAGAAGTCATTGCGTTTGATGCCGATATCGATAACATCGATATCGAAGAAGATGATGCCAGTGAGAGTGCGGAAGCCCTCACTGAAGACAATGATCCCAGTGAGAGTGCGGAAGCCCTCACTGAAGAAAAGGTTGTTGTCGCTGCAGTGCGCTCACAGCACACTGAAGCTAACGAGTCATCAGATGAGTTCATACTGGCTCGTGAAACGGTAGTCCGTTTTGTGCAAGACTCCATCGCCGAAGCGGTGGATAAGCAAAAGCAAAACGCTGAAAAGAATGGAAGGGCAAACACTCTTTTATTTAATAAAGGTGACTTAGTCCTACTGTCTACGGTTAATCTACCAAAGCATGTAGTGACTAACTTGGGTAGCAGTAAACTACTACCCAAGTACATCGGCCCATTTTGTGTATTGCATCGCCTAGGCAATGCATACACGATCGAACTGCCACTTAAGATGCGAACGCATCCCACGTTTTACATTGGTCGGCTTAAGCCGTACCATCAGTACACTGCTTCTTCCGATGAAGAACGCCCTTGCGCTCAAGCATCTCGCAGAGAGCCTTGTGCTCCCGATGGTGGGCATCAACAAGGGTCTGAAGAGCAGCTATCTCATCCCGAGACCGATCAACAATCCCACGAGCTACCCTTAGCTCGTCACGAAGAGATGTCAGAGATCTCTCGTTCTCAAGCTGAGCGAAGGCAAACTCAGCTCGATGCTTCGAGACAGTGTCCGCCATTTGGAGACGCCTGTCCCGCTCATGTTCGAGATCGTTGCGTAACCCTTGCGTTACGCGATCAAAGAAGCTCTCAGGAACACACCGATCCACATGATCGTGTGGAGAGCGTCTTCCCTCCTCCTCCACCTCCATTAGAGGACTCTCGCGGTGGCCAGCGCTATCTAGTTGAGCAGCTGTTGAACTACCGCGACGTGAACGGACGTCGGACGAGTTATCTCGTCCGGTGGCGCGGCTATCCCCCGTCCTGGGATTCTTGGGAGCCCCGCTCCAAAATGATGATCGACGTACTGGGTCTGGTTGAGCAGTACGACGCGGCACATCCTGTGCCGCAGAAGGACCGCCGGAGAAAGTCTTCCCGGCACGGTCGTAAAGGGATTTCAAGTTGTCAATCCCTTCGTACATCTCAGTAGAGATACGTACGCGCCACCACGGGCTATTAGGGAGGTAAGCCTCCTTAGGTGCTCGTGCAGAGTTGTTTACACAACAAGGGCACGGGTCTCCCCAGGAAAGACAGGGTAGCCCACCCTCCTTTGACAGACGATGCAGCTTATAGCGTGCACCTGTCGGGGTTCGCTTTTCAAACTTATCACGAGCTTTGATAAGTTTGTCATTCCAAACGTCACGAACTACATCCTCAAGGTTGTGGATGTAAGCGTTCCACGCTTGAAGCAGTGAGGGACCATCACGTTTGTGATTCCCACTGTACCATCGATGTTTAAAGAAAGCATCGATGAAGAAATCGTTCTCAGCGCGATAGTTTTTCGCGCTGGGGTCAAGGTGATGGATCCTTGACGAATCGAACAACCGTGTTCGATAACGATCACTCGTCGTCGCCGACAAGCGATCCATGACGGACTTTGGAGGCATCCATGCCTTCTTCTCAGGAGCGAGACGCAACACATTGCGGTCCCGCTCTTCCTGCGATGTGCCGACAGAAGGACTGGCACCTCGTTGCGAAGAGGTGTCCATAGGAGAGCCGACACCACTGTTAGCGCCCGAGTCTCGCGACCTCGAGCGCCTTCGCTTCGGCGATGGTTCATCTGATTCATCAGATGAACCAAAGATGCTGCGATGCATAGCATCATCCATGCCACGTTTGGCAGGCGGCTTGGATTCGATCGCCGTCGATACGGATCCGTCTTCCGTATCAGGAGAGTATGAGACACCGAGCTCATACTCTGTGAAGACATGAGTGTCTTCATGACCAGCGCCTGCATCACCAAGTGACACAGGCTGGGTCGCTTCAGCAACCGATGAGATACCAGTTGCTGTGGTTTCTGCTTCGGCGTCCGCGCAGAGACGTGCAGACGCGATCTCAGCTGCCTTGTTCGCGCACCGCATGGGCTTGTTTACCATGCGATGAAACTGATAGACTGTGGACTCGGACCAACAAGTGCAAACCCTGTCCCAAATGATTTGGGACGAGCATCCTCTTGGTCAATCAGTCACTAAAGTGACTGATGGTTAAGGGGGGGTGATGTAACGGGGTGAATCGTTACATAACAATTTATAAGAAATTGTTAATAGAATATAACTATAAGAGTTATATTCTCAGAATATTGTCCTAAATACAAATATTCTGTAGCACTTACAAGTAGTTCCTAATTGGTTGATATAGGCCATTATATCAACCAACGAAGACGCGCCACGACAGACGCACGCAATGAGTGGTGAGCATATATTTGATTTACACATTTGTATTTAGACATAGTTAAACGAAGATAAATAGTGATTTATTGCAGACATTAACTATTATAAATACAGTTCTACTTTTTACTTTAACCAAGTACTCGCTTCTTCTTACCGTCTTCCTCTGCACGTACGAGTGTACGTGAAGTTCCGAGGCACTGCCTCATTCTGTCATCAAAATAAGTAGCTTGTACTGTCACCAGTACAAGCTTCAGGGTGCCCCGTTACATTGGTCGGTAGCACAATATGTGACTTCTTCGAGGTTTCAATCTCCCTACCCAACAAACCAGCAATCGTGCTGCTAGGTCCACAGAAGAATCAAAACAATGTCCAACAGAGACGAGCTTGTAAAACACTACATTTCACCGCAAGGATTAATAGTATAGAGTCGGAAGCTACAATGTCATTCGCGTGGAGCAAGTTGACTTGGAACTTACGCCCCTACCTTTTTGATCGACGTCACATTCAGCCAGTTCTCCCTCGGCAGCACCAAGATGCGTACGTCGTAGACCGAGGGCGACGTGCATTTCCCCTCACGACAGTAGCCCAAATCAATGTCCTGGTCCACGGGGCAGCCCTCCACTTGGTACGTGCGGTTCCTTCCAGCCAGAAACTCCAACGATATCGTCAGATATTCACTAAAGCAGATCCGTGTGGTCACGTCCGCATTGTACGAGCTCGGGTGGCATGCAGTCGTTGTCAGGAACGCGACTTCGTCTATGGTCATTGGTCGCGGATTGTAGTAGGCAGGGTCGATCGTTCCAGTAACCTGAGGCTGCCCCATGGAATCCTCAAGATCGTCAAATGCAGCAATCGAGGAAGATAGAGCCAGTCCAGTGAGTAGAGCAACCGAGCGGATGTACGTCATGTCAATGGAGGAGGTCGGGTTCTGGACGGATAGAATCACGACTGCAGAACTTGAGTTGGAGTGTGGTCTCAGACGCGAAAGTTGAGAAGTGTCTGTAGCCTCACGTCTAGCAGGAGGGGGGGCGCCCATCCTTTTTGCGGCATCACGAACGACACGGAATGCGGGAATCGGAAAGAACAGAACATCTGCGAAATGTTGAGCGAAATATTCGGCCGCTGTTCGATTGTTACCAGAATTGGGTCGCTTCGTACCAATGGCTCTCCGGCTGCATGCTCCGGTTGCAACGCCTTCGTTATCACGACAAGAGCGCTCTGAGCGTGCCTTGTACGATCTCGGTGGGTGAAGCTTCGGCCTGTGGGTTACGGTAAAGCTTTGGCTGGTGGGTCATCAGTCGAAAATGTCTCCCTTTTTCGTCGTGTGTACGCCAGAAATCGTCATTCGCAACACAGCCGTACCGAGCTGCCACATTGTGGACGCGCCACCCCGTCGTACGATCGACTGTAGGTGTCACAGCGGATAGCACACGCTTGCGCATTTGTGACAAACTCTCCTCTTTCACCAGCTTTCTGCGACCGGAGAGGATACTAACGGACGGTCCAGGATGATTGAACTGACGCTAGTCGAAACACATTCATTGCGTGGGCGCAGAGCAAGCTTTCTCCACTCGCTGCAGTAGCCAGTGTGACCAAGACAGGTTCTGTCTCTCTGTCACAATACACTTTACTTCAGTGCAAGACGTGGCAGTTGATCGCACTAATGTGGGACAAAAGCAAAGAAAGCCCGATCCTGCACTCCGATTCCATGAGGTGTACCCGATGCCATGACTTTAAGTGCAGCACAGAGTCAGCTGGTACGCACAGTCTGTCGCATGAATCCATCAGCATCGAGACTCCTTAGGGTCCAATCGTGCGCTCGTAAGCTTCCAATTGTCACTGTGATTACGGCATCAGCTATTTCGTGGACTCTGGTCATCAGCTGCAATGCACTGATGCTGGTTCAAGCTGCAATCAACAACAAAACGAAGGCGGGCGCTGAACTGCCACAGTCCATGTCACAATCTCTGTCACAATTTGTGTCACAATCCAAGATGCTACTATCTGCTGAGTGCAACTTCAGCCACAAAAAGGTATGCGAAAAGCGACATCAGGCACGGAAGGGATTGTAACGATTCAACACTATTCCTGGTGCCTCTATTCCGGATATTAAGGCGCCGTCCTATCCAGTCGACAACGAAATCGTCATTTGCGCCCTGTATGGATTCGACATGCCACGTACGTCCTTCTTTGCAAACGACTTTCCATGGACAATGCACGGCGTAAGGGATCACTGCACCCACCGTTGCGAAGGACATCGCTGCAAAGCATGCAACATGGATTCGTGACTACTGTAGTGGAACTCCTGTCCAGCGTGCGATCTCCTACAAACCTCTTCAGGACAAATGCCGCAAGGTCATGTTACAACGTCGTTTAGTATGCACCGTGGGGATCGTTGTCTGTCGGTCTAGTCTTCTCTTTGAAGCTTACCAAGCGGCAGTGCATCGTCGCTGCCACTTCCCATCGACGCTTGTATTGGAAACAAGCTACACCCGAATAATGACAGCACACGGCCTACAAGTCAGTGTGCTTCCCAGTTCGACCCATCGCGATGCCGTTGATGACGCGTGGACACTTACATTGTACATAGCAAAGCAATCAGTACGACGGTTGTGAATTCGATGTCACGGCAAAAACGCACTCCCTACGCTTGGACGACGTCGGTGAGTGAAGCCTCAGCTCGTGGGTTGTTGATCACAGAGATCTGCCCTCCTCCGTCTGTTCACGCCAAAGTCGCCACTACAACACAGATGTATCGAGTTGCTATGATGTGTCCGATGCAATGGATCCTTGCATCGTCAACTGTCATTGCGATCAGTCATACTGAGACAAACGAACGGATGGCATATCATGCAACCGTCATTAGCGTGCGGTCTTCGGAACTGCTTGCAACGATTCCACGGTCTTCAACTACGTTCTACTATTCACTGCCAAGGACGACTGCACGGTCTACTAATCCGTTCGTTTCAAGCTCTGCAGTCGTGATCTAAACAGCCCAAGGCCACCCGACCTCCTCCACTGACATGACGTACATCCGCTCGTTTGCCCTTCTTGCTGGACTGGCTCTATCTTCGACGGATGCCCAAGGGCTACTACCAGAGCCTGACGCGATGGTGGGTAGCTACAGCGCGTCACGAGCTATGACCCTGAACGAGGTCGCGTTCCTGACGACGACTGCATGCCATCCAAGCCTGTACAATGCGGACGTGACCATCCGCATCTGCTTTACAGAATTTGGAAAGGTGGCGACGCAGGACATGCTTGGTACGAACTACAGGTACGAAGTGAAGGGCTGCTGTGTGGACGGGAACGAACTCTTGGGCTTCTGCCGCCCTGGCGTTTGCCACACGCCCTCGGACTACGAAGTCACCATCTACAACCAGGAGTCGCCGGCGATGGTGAATGTGTCGTCTATCAAGGAGATACAGCCTAAAAGCCAGTAAACTTGCTTCAAGCGCAACGACAACGTAGCTTTCAACTCTATACTTCTAACTGTTTCGTTAAAACAATAGTGGTTGACAAACTCGTCACTTTGAAAGTTGTTTTGATCTGTTGTGGACTAAGAAGACCCTTCGCTGATTTATTGAAGGGCGGAGATAGGACCTTTGTTAAGGTCAATTGCCATGTTGTCCAGAGGATATACATCGTGTCGCATGTGAGTGGTTAGGTGTCTGCGTGCAAAAGAAGCACCCACCATGCAGCTTGTAGTAATCGTTTCCATCTGGCTGAGGCTTGGCTGTAACGGGGCACCCTGAAGCTTGTACTGGTGACAGTACAAGCTACTTATTCTGATAACAGAATAAGGCGGTGCCTCGTAACTTCACGTACACTCGTACGTGCAGAGGAAGACGGTAAGAAGAAGCGAGTACTCGGTTAGAGTAAAAAGTAGAACTGTATTTATAATAGTTAATGTCTGCAATAAATCACTATTTATCTTCATCTAACTATGTCTAAATACAAATGTGTAAATCAGTTATCTGCTCACCACTCATTGCGTGCGTCTGTCGTGGCGCGTCTTCGTTGGTTGATATAATGGCCTATATCAACCAATTAGGAACTACTTGGAAGTGCTACAGAATATTGTCCTTATGACAATATTCTGAGAATATAACTCTTATAGTTATATTCTATTAACAATTTCTTATAAATTGTTATGTAACGATTCACCCCGTTACATCACCCCCCTTAACCATCAGTCACTTTAGTGACTGATTGACTAAATGGATACTCGTCCCAAATCATTTGGGACGGGGTTTGCACTTGTTGGTCCGCGTCCACTTTCCAACATCTCATCGCATGGTAAACAAGCCCATGCGATGCGCGAGCAAGGCCGCCGAGAGCGCGTCTGCACGTCTCTGTGCGGACGCCGAAGCAGAAACTACAGCAACTGATGTCCCATCGGTTGCTGAATCGACTCAGCCTGTATCACCTGGTGATGCAGGCGCTGGTCATGAAGACACTCGTGTCTTCACAGAGTACGAGCTCGGTGTCTCGTACTCTCCTGATACGGATGACGGATCCGTATCGACGGCAATTGAATCCAAGCCGCCTGCCAAGCGTGGCATGGACGATGCTTTGCGTCGCAGCATCTTTGGTTCATCTGATGAGTCAGATGAACCATCGCCGAAGCGAAGGCGCTCGAGGTCGCGAGACTCGGGCGCTAATAGTGGTGTCGGTTCTCCAATGGACACCACTTCACAGCGAGGTGCCAGTACTTCTGTCGGCACGTCGCAGCAAGAGCGGGACCGCAATGTGTTGCGTCTCGCTCCAGAAAAGAAGGCATGGATGCCTCCTAAATCTGTCATGGATCACTTGTCGGCGACGACGAGTGATCGTTATCGAACACGATTGTTCGATTCGTCAAGGATCCATCACCTTGACCCCAGCGCGAAAGACTATCGCGCTGAACATGAGTTCTTCATCGATGCTTTCTTCAGACATCGATGGTACAGTGGGAATCACAAACGTGATGGTCCCTCACTACTTCAGGCGTGGAACGCCTACATCCATAATCTCGAGGATGTAGGTCGTGACGCTTGGAACGACAAACTTATCAAAGCTCGTGATAAGTTTGAAAAGCGAACCCCGACAGGTGCACGCTATAAGCTGCATCGTCTGTCAAGGGAGAAAGGATTACCCTGCCTCTCTTGGGGAGACTCGTGCCCATGTTGTGTGAACAACTCTGCACGAGCACCTAAGGAGGCTTACCTCCTTACCAGCCCGTGGTGGCGCGTACGTGTCTCTACTGAGATGTACGAAGGGATTGACAACCTGAAATCCCTTTACGACCGTGCCGGGAAGACTTTCTCCGGCGGTCCTTCTGCGGCACAGGATGTGTCGCGTCGTACTGCTCGACCAGACCCAGTACGTCAACCATCAATTGGGAGCGGGGCTCCCAAGAATCCCAGGACGGGGGATAGCCGCGCCACCGGACGAGGTAACTCGTCCGACGTCCGTTCACGTCGCGGTGGTTCAACAGCTGCTCTACTAGATAGCGCTGGCCACCGCGAGAGTCCTCTAATGGAGGTGGAGGAGGAGGAAAGACGCTCTCCACACGATCATGTGGATCGGTGTGTTCCCGAGAGCTTCTTTGATCGCGTAACGCAAGGGTTACGCGACGATCTCGAGCATGAGCGGAATAGGCGTCTCCAGATGGTGGACACTGCCTCGAAGCATCGAGCTGAGTTTGCCTTTGCTCAGCTTGAGAACGAGAGATCTCTGACATCTCTTCGTGACGAGCTAAGGGTAGCTCGTGGGATTGTTGATCGGTCTCGGGCTGAGATAAATGCTCTTCAGACCCTTGTTGATGCCCACCATCGGGAGCACAAGGCTCTCTGCGAGATGCTTGAGCGCAAGGGCGTTCTTCATCGGAAGAAGCAGCGTACTGATGGTACGGCTTAAGCCGACCAACGTAAAACGTGGGATGCGTTCGCATCTTACGTGGTAACTCGATCGTGTATGCATTGCCTAGGCGGTGCAATACACGAAATGGGCCAATGTACTTGGGTAGTAGTTTACTGCTACCCAAGTTAGTCACTACATGTTTTGGTAGATTAACCGTAGACAGTAGGACTAAGTCACCTTTATTAAATAAAAGAGTGTTTGCCCTTCCATTCTTGTCAGCGTTTTGCTTTTGCTTATCCACCGCTTCGGCGATGGAGTCTTGCACAAAACGGACTACCGTTTCACGAGCCAGTATGAACTCATCTGATGACTCGTTAGCTTCAGTGTGCTGTGAGCGCACTGCAGCGACAACAGCCTTTTCTTCAGTGAGGGCTTCCGCACTCTCACTGGCATCATTGTCTTCAGTGAGGGCTTCCGCTCTCTCACTGGCATCATCTTCTTCGATATCGATGTTATCGATATCGGCATCAAACGCAATGACTTCTTCGTCAGAGCGTGATGAGCGTGAACCAAATCGGTTTTTGCTCGCGCGAGTCCCTCCCCCCCTTAAACCAGAGTTACACTCTAGTAAGGTGGGTACACGCGGATGGCGCAAGCCATTCACGTAAAACGGTGTATGCGTCGTGGACGCATGCACCGAGTTGTTGATGGCAAACTCTACCATTGGCAAAAACTCACTCCAACTCTTAAAGGAGTGTACGTATCCTCGAAGTATCTCTTCAAGGACACGATTGGCACGTTCCGTCTGACCATCTGACTCTGGATGATCAGATGTTGACATCTTCAAGCGCGTTCCGAGTGATTTGAACACGGAACGCCAGAAATCAGCAGTGAATCGTGGATCTCTGTCTGATACGAGTTCACGGGGCAACCCATGAAGTCGGAAGATGGTGTCAATAAAGACACAAGCACAGCCACTTGCCGTGATTGTCTCTGGTACAGCCACAAGGTGTACCATTTTGCTGAATCTGTCAACAAATACGAGAATACCCGTATTCCCGCGTGCGTCTTTGGGTAACCCGAAGACGAAATCCATTGAGATGGATTCCCAGCACTCAGCCGGAACCGGTAGAGGCTGTAAAGGTGCACGCAGTGAAGGACTTGACTTCACTCGTTGGCAGACTTCGCATGCGCGAACATACTTTCGCACAAACTGATACTGGCGGGGCCAGTAAAAGTCTCGACTTACCGTGAGATATGTTTTCTCTCGGCCACGATGTCCTCCTATAGGAGCATCGTGATACTCGAACATGATCCGCAAACGCAGATCAGTATCATCTGGAATGACAACACGTGGTGTGTCACCAGAAACGGCTGTATAGTACAGTAAACCGTTACGAGTAGTGTATCGATCTGATGCAGATCGATACGCAGACGACAATCGTTTCAACGATTCTCGAGATGGTTGGGAGAGATGTGACAACAACTTCACTATCTCACCATCTTGGGCGTATGCCCGCCTCACATCATCATACAACGTTGTAGATGGAACTGAGGACGTCATAACCGCAACAGTGACTGTCTCACTGTTGGGTTTCGCGACTGTTTCAAAGTCGGGACGACGTGAGAGTGCATCAGCGACGACATTAAGTCGTCCTGGTTTGTACTCGACCGTAAAGTTGTATTCTGCAAAGAATGACAACCACCGCGCCATTCGTTGTGAAAGGTGCGGGCTGTTCACTGCCGTGCGTAATGACGCATGGTCAGTGTAAACAACGAAGGGTCTATCTCCTAATAGATAGACTCTGAACTTCGCGAGTGCATACTTCATGGCAAGGAGTTCCTTGTCATGCACTGGATAGTTCCGCTCAGCTGGTTGCAGCTGACGCGACTGATAGCAGACGACGCGTTCAACGCCTTCAAGGTCGTACTGCATTAATGCACAGCCGATTGCGAAATCGCTGGCATCACAGACCACATGAAATGGCCTGTCCTGATCGGCTATTGCTAGGACTGGGGATTGTATCAAGCTCTGCTTGATACCCTCAAAGGAGCGTTGACATTCAGCGTTCCATAACCACCTCTCGTTCTTTTTCAACAAACGAGAGAGGTGCACAGTCATCTCGGCGTAATTGCGTGAATACTTATGCAAATACGCCGCTAGCCCAAGGAATTTTCGAAGACCTTTGACATCGACCGGCACAGGCCAGTCGGTGATCGCCTTGATCTTTTCGGGATCAGGACGTACACCGTTCTTACCAACGATGCACCCAAGAAGTGGTATTTCGCTTGCTGCAAATATACACTTCTTGAGGTTAGCATACAATTGATGCTTTCGCATGATTGTAAGAACTTGTCGGACGTGGTACCTGTGAACCTCAACGTCCGACTTTCCATCCATAGCTCGACTATGGATGAATACGTCATCGAAATAACTCGGCGCGAACTCTCGTATTGGTCTCAACAGATGTGATACACATCTGTTGAACGTGGCAGGGGCATTACTGAGCCCTTGTGGCATTACTAGCCATTCCCAGAGCATGCCGCTAGGCGTGCTAACTGCGGTATAGGGTATATCCCGTTCCCGCATTAGGATTTGATAGAAGCCATCCATCAAATCCATGGACGAAAAGATGGTACTCTTTGACATACCATCAATGATTACGTCCTTCCTCGGTATCGGCGTCTGAGCCGGTACCGTTGCAGCGTTCAATTTGTTGAACGCGTGCACTATCCGCCACCCTCCTGTTGCTTTTCGCACACAGAAGGTCGGAGAGCTATGTGGGGAAGTTGATTCCCTCACATGGCTCGCTGCTAAACGATCGGCAAAGAACTTGTCGATCGCAAGTACTTGTTCACGAGGCAGTGGCCACTGCTTCATGACACAGTACTTCGAGCCTGGTTTAAGCTCGACTTCGTGTCGAATACCTTTATCCTTCGGTAATTCGCACGGAACAGTTTCAGGGAATACATCCTTGAATTCAACCAAATCCTCATAGAGAGGGTTTTCCTTGAGCGATTCCCATGATTGGGACTCATATCGCTCAATTCGTGTCTTTTCATCTAGGACACTCTCGTCCATAGATGAACTACTGAGAACTCTCTCGTTCTCAGTAAACACTGTTGCTGACCTTATGTCGGTTACATACTCGTCGTCAGCGACGAGTATGCAGATCTGCTTGACTTTGCCACTACGCAGATCACGCAAGAACCTTTATGTTCGAGCGTTGGCAACTGAGTGATCTCCGAAGTTAACTTCGGAGGCGCAATCAGATCAAGTGTATAAGCGCCTACACATGATCCGTTATTGACTATGACATTCAATGTCTCTGTCATTTCCTGGGGACTTATTCCCTCAGGCTTCGAAGGACTTATTCCTTCGTCTTCCCGGGGACTTATTCCCGCGGGTTTCGGGGAACTTATTTCCGCCGTATTTGTAATCTTGGGACTTATTCCCTTTACTTCCTCTAGCTGGGGTTGCGCAACCACAGCGAGATCCTCTACGAAAGACTCTCCAGTCGATCTAGGATTATCGTTTCGCTTAACCTGAGCGATCGATTGTTTCTCTCCTAGATGTTCCCCTCTAGGGATACATCTTTGTCCCAGTCCACCCGACTTATTCGAGTGGTGGACCTTCGGCGCAGCCTGTGTTTCCTCACAGCCGCCGGAACTTTGCTCCGAAGTGTAACCGTTCGGTACACTAAGGTTTTGTGCAGTCGTACTAACGACCGTACCACAAGTGAGGCCATCGCACTCACTCGTAGTACATCCACACGCTTGTGGACGCTCCAAAACGTTCATCAGATGGCCATCTGATGAACAAGCGGCAGGCATCGTTACTGTCCGATGTTGCCAGTTTACCCGTGGTTCGTACCTTCTGAGCCACGGTATTCCAAGGATGACATCAAATTTGTCATCCAAATCCAATACGATAAAGTCATCGTCGTATTGGGTATCTTCTAGCGTATAGTGAATCTTCACTATACGCTTCATGACGGTTACGGATGCGCCTGTCGCAAGACGTACCGTCATCCTCGTAGGAGGTGTGTCACATTCACTGAATTTAAAGTGACCATCTTCTAGCGATTGGCGTCGCACAAAAATTGTTGGACGCCCCACAATCGACTAGAGCTCGAAGGGACAACTTATTCGTCACTTCGAGTTTCAAGGTAATGAGTGAGATCTCATTACCTAGAGCAGCAACGCACAATGTCTGTGTGTTGGGAGCAACCTTCATCAAGAGGCCTACAAATTCTCTTGACGTTGCTGGATCAGTAGGGTGCTCCGCACCTACTGATCCTGTCCGTTTTTTGACGGTCCATCCTGTTGTTGCGTCTTTGCACCAACTGCGGACCCTCGTCCCTGCCCCTTTCTCATGGGTGGACGGTCACTACGCCCAGTGTCGCGAGACACTGGACGAGGGGCACTACACTCGTAAGCGTAGTGTCCTGTCTTTTGACATCTGTTGCATCTCTGCAACTTCTTGTAGCCTGTAGAGCGAGCCTTCTCGCTCTCTACATAACAGAGTTCCATCGGCTCTGGACCTCCGTTGTCATATCGTCTCGGTTGACGATATGATGTCGAGCTGGCGCGAGCCTGTCTCAGACTGAAGTCTTCCTGCTCCGCAATTGAAATGGCTTGTTCTAGTGAATCTAGTTCAAGCCGGAACAGGTGAGTCTTGACGGGACCATCCGCAAGACCCTGCATGAACACCGAAACCAACGTGTGTTCATCCACCGGATTGGAACTTATACAACTCGTGAGATGTCGTATATGTTGAGCGTAAGCGTGCACATCACGCTTACCCTGCTTGAGCTTCAAGAGTTCGGTTCGAGCTCTGAACTCAGCTCTAGGCGGTTCAAACGTTTGTCTGAGCCGCGACTTGAAGACTTCCAACGACCCAAACGCATATGGGTCGTGCAGCTTGAGCCCCAGTGCCCAAGTCTTGGCACGTCCTGCCAGATTTGACTGGGCAAATGCAACTTGCATATCCCCGTCGTCGATGCGACGCGCCCTTATGGCGTCATCCACCTCGACGAACCATCTCAAGAGGGAGTCTTCTTCGACCCCTCTATACTTTGAGATGTCAATCTTCAAAGTCTCGGGCCGACGCGAGTGCATCGACCCGCCAGCAGCAGCCTGCTGCTGTCTCAACAGTTCAAACTGTTGAGCACCTTGTTCTCTCAACAACTCTGCTTGTTGAGAACCTTGTTGGTGAAGCAAGGCTACTTTCTCGCGTTCTGCGTCAAGTTCATTTTGAATGAACTTGGCGATAGTAGCATGTTGGGCATCTCTATTGAGAGCCTCTAGCATGACGCTAACAGCATGGATGCCCATGGTCGAACCCATTCGTTCAACCGCATCCCATTCGACATCGCTCAAATGGGAGTAGCCGTCACGCGTAGCGTGAAAGCTTTGGTCATCTTTCATCATCCAACATATTCATGTTGGATGTGAACGCGGTCCTTGGACGGACTACAAAGTGCTACCAGGTGTAACGGGGCATCCCTGAAGCTTGTACTGGTGACAGTACAAGCTACTTATTCTGATAACAGAATAAGGCGGTGCCTCGTAACTTCACGTACACTCGTACGTGCAGAGGAAGACGGTAAGAAGAAGCGAGTACTCGGTTAGAGTAAAAGTAGAACTGTATTTATAATAGTTAATGTCTGCAATAAATCACTATTTATCTTCATCTAACTATGTCTAAATACAAATGTGTAAATCAGTTATCTGCTCACCACTCATTGCGTGCGTCTGTCGTGGCGCGTCTTCGTTGGTTGATATAATGGCCTATATCAACCAATTAGGAACTACTTGGAAGTGCTACAGAATATTGTCCTTATGACAATATTCTGAGAATATAACTCTTATAGTTATATTCTATTAACAATTTCTTATAAATTGTTATGTAACGATTCACCCCGTTACATTGGCTGTATTTTCCCGCACTTTGCATCGATAGAGATGCACAATGAGTACTACATCGGCCCTTGCCAACTCCACCGAAACATAAGCGAAGGTCAAATATGATTGCGAACCCGAAGCGTAAAGCTATTAGTGACTGTGCGCAAGGTGAATACGGAGCTTTTTATTGTACTTATCTGTGTGTGTGTGTCTATCATAACGCGGTTAGGTGTACTTTTCACGCATTAAGTGCGATCTAGTTTGTGGCCTCTCATAGGTATGTTGGCACATACGAAGTCACTCTTTGGCTGGGTCAACATTGTGATGCACGCATGTGATTGATTTGTAATCGATCAAAAGGTGAATATGGTCATGAGCATATATGCGTATCCAAGGTCACCCTTTGGCTAGGTCACCATTGCAGCGCACGCTTGCCAATGGCTTAAGATCGATCAAAAGTGCATGTGGTCACAAAATCAATTGCTGGACGCTCATAAGCACAGGCTGATCACGTTGCTCGAGTACACTGTACTAGGTTACTACATACATTAACAGCATCGTACGCATTCTTCGGTGAGTGGTGTAGTATAATGTTTTGCCACTTGATTGAGATCTACGAACTGTATTACTTACATCTAAGGGCGAGCTCCAGAGCTTGCTCTCCTATCTTACTCACTAAAGTGCGCCAAGGCAGCGAAATAACTCGAGAAAAAGTTAATTATTCGAAATCCCGCCTACGTTAGTAGTTCTGTGACACCCAAGATACATTTTGGCTGTATATCATCGGCTCATGATCTTGAGATAATCAGGTCATTGGCGAAGATGAGTTGTAACGGGCACCCTTCGTTTGGAGTGCTACGTACTTCACGTACGCTAGTACGTGCACAGGAAGCTAATTTACTCAAACAGCTAGATGGAGTAAAAGGTAAAAAGAGAACTGCATTTAATATGGTTAAGCTATTAAAATTGTAACAGGGTGAATCGTTACATAACAATTTATAAGAAATTGTTAATAGAATATAACTATAAGAGTTATATTCTCAGAATATTGTCCTAAATATAAATATTCTGTAGCACTTACGAGTAGTTCCTAATTGGTTGATATAGGCCATTATATCAACCAACGAAGACGCGCCACGACAGACGCACGCAATGAGTGGTGAGCAGATAACTGATTTACACATTTGTATTTAGACATAGTTAGATGAAGATAAATAGTGATTTATTGCAGACATTAACTATTATAAATACAGTTCTACTTTTTACTTTAACCAAGTACTCGCTTCTCCTTACCGTCTTCCTCTGCACGTACGAGTGTACGTGAAGTTACGCGGCACCGCCTCATTCTGTCACCAGAATAAGTAGCTTGTACTGTCACCAGTACAAGCTTCAGGGTGCCCCGTTACACCTGGTAGCACTTCGTAGTCCGTCCAAGGACCACGTTCACATCTAACATGAATATGTTGGATGATGAAGATGACCAAAGCTTTCACACTACGCGTGACGGCTACTCCCATTTGAGCGATTTCGAATGGGATGCGGTTGAACGAATGGGTTCGACCATGGGCATCCATGCTGTTAGCGTCATGCTAGAGGCTCTCAATAGAGATGCCCAACATGCTACTATCGCCAATTTCATTCAAAATGAACTTGACGCTGAACGCGAGAAAGTAGCCTTGCTTCACCAACAAGGTTCTCAACAAGCAGAGTTGTTGAGAGAACAGGGTGCTCAACAGTTTGAACTGTTGAGACAGCAGCAGGCTGCTGCTGGTGGGTCGATGCACTCGCGTCGACCCGAGACTTTGAAGATTGACATCTCTAAGTATAGGGGAGTCGAAGAGGACTCCCTCTTGAGATGGTTTGTCGAATTGGATGACGCCATAAGGGCGCGTCGCATCGACGACGGGGATATGCAAGTTGCATCTGCCCAGTCAAATCTGGCAGGACGTGCCAAGACTTGGGCACTGGGGCTCAAGTTGCACGACCCATATGCGTTTGGGTCGTTGGAAGTCTTCAAGTCGCGGCTCAGACAAACGTTTGAACCGCCTAGAGCCGCGTTTAGAGCTCGAACCGAACTCTTGAAGCTCAAACAAGGTAAGCGTGGTGTGCACGCTTACGCGCAACATATACGACATCTTACGAGTTGTATAAGTTCCAATCCGGTGGATCAACACACGTTGGTTTCGGTGTTCATGCAGGGTCTTGCGGATGGTCCCGTCAAGACTCACCTGTTCCAACTTGAACTAGATTCACTAGAACAAGCCATTTCCATTGCGGAACAGGAAGACTTCAGTCTGAGACAGGCTCGCGCCAGCTCGACATCATATCTTCAACCGAGACGATATGACAGCGGAGGTCCAGAGCCGATGGAACTCTGTTATGTAGAGAGCGAGAAGGCTCGCTCTACAGACTACAAGAAGTTCCAGAAATGCAACAGATGTTAGAAGACAGGACACTACGCTTACGAGTGTAGTGCCCCTCGTCCAGTGTCTCGCAACACTGGGCGTAGTGACCGTCCACCCATGAGAAACGGGCAGGGACGTGGGTCCGCTGTTGGTGCACAGACGCAACAACGGGATGGACCGTCAAAAACGGACAGGATCAGTAGGTGCGGAGCACCCTACTGGTCCAGCAACGTCAAGAGAATTTGTGGGCCTCTTGATGAAGGTTGCTCCCAACACACAAACGTTGTGCGTTGCTGCTCTAGGTAATGAGATCTCACTCATTACCTTGAAACTCGAAGTGACAAATAAGTTGTCCCTTCGAGCTCTAGTCGATTGTGGGGCGTCCAACAATTTTGTGCGACGCCAATCGCTAGAAGATGGTCACTTCAAGTTCAGTGAATGTGACACACCTCCGTCGATTATGACAGTACGTCTTGCGACAGGCGCATCCGTAACCGTCATGAAGCGTATAGTGAAGATCCACTATGCGCTAGAAGATACCCAATATGACGATGACTTAATCGTATTGGATTTGGATGACAAATTTGATGTCATCCTGGAATACCGTGGCTCAGAAGGTACGAACCACGGGTTAACTGGCAACATCGAACAGTAACGATGCCTGCCGCTTGTTCATCAGATGGCCATCTGATGAACGTTTTGGAGCGTCCACAAGCGTGTGGATGTACTACGAGTGAGTGCGATGGCCTCACTTGTGGTACGGTCGTTAGTACGACTGCACAAAACCTTAGTGTACCAAACGGTTACACTTCGGAGCAAAGTTCCGGCGGCTGTGAGGAAACACAGGCTGCGCCGAAGGTCCACCACTCGAATAAGTCGGGTGGACTGGGACAAAGATGTATCCCTAGCGGGATACATCTAGAAGAGAAACAATCGATCGCTCAGGTTAAGCGAAACGATAATCCTAGATCGACTGGAGAGTCTTTCGTAGAGGATCTCGCTGTGGTTGCGCAACCACAGCTAGAGGAAGTTAAGGGAATAAGTCCCGATATTACAGATACGGCGGAAATAAGTTCCCCGAAACCCGCGGGAATAAGTCCCCGGGAAGCCGAAGGAATAAGTACTTCGAGGCCTGAGGGAATAAGTCCCCAGGAAATGACAGAGACATTGAATGTCATAGTCAATAACGGATCAAGTGCAGGCGCTTATACACTTGATCTGATTGCGCCTCCGAAGTTAACTTCGGAGATCACTCAGTCGCCAACGCTCGAACATAAAAGGTTCTTGCGTGATCTGCGTAGTGGCAAAGTCAAGCAGATCTGCGTACTCGTCGCTGACGACGAGTGTGTAGCCGACATAAGGTCAGCAACAGTGTTTACTGAGAACGAAAGAGTTCTCGGTAGTTCATCTATGGACGAGAATGTCCTAGATGAAAAGACACGAATTGAGCGATATGACTCCCAATCGTGGGAATCGCTCAAGAAAAATCCTCTCTATGAAGATTTGGTTGAATTCAAGGATGTATTCCCTGAAACTGTTCCGTGCGAATTACCGAAGGATAAAGGTATTCGACACGAGGTCGAGCTTAAACCAGGCTCGAAGTACTGTGTCATGAAGCAGTGGCCACTGCCTCGTGAACAAGTACTTGCGATCGACAAGTTCTTTGCCGATCGTTTAGCTGCGGGCCATGTGAGGGAATCAACTTCCCCACATAGCTCTCCGACCTTCTGTGTGCGAAAAGCAACAGGAGGGTGGTGGATAGTGCACGCGTTCAACAAATTGAACGCTGCAACGGTACCGGCTCAGACGCCGATACCGAGGAAGGACGTAATCATTGATGGTATGTCAAAGAGTACCATCTTTTCGTCCATGGATTTGATGGATGGCTTCTATCAAATCCTTATGCGGGAACGGGATATACCCTATACCGCAGTTAGCACGCCTAGCTGCAAGCTCTGGGAATGGCTAGTAATGCCACAAGG